GGGAGTTAAATAACCCAAAAAATGAAACAAATCCCCAGATTTTGGTTTGGTCAACTTGAAATGGTTTTCTACCCTAGTTTTACTTTTTGGCCACCAAACTGAAAAATCCATTTCCCCCCACAGTTTTATCCTTCCCTGTGTTATGGTGGGATTGTTTTTTTTGCCAGGAAGTCATCAGGCTTAGAAGCAGAGCAGTACAGAAAATGGCATTTCAAATCTATTGGGAATTTAGAGTTTTCAAAGTATTTTTTCTATGAGTTCAAAACAATACCCCAAATTCTTGGGTTCCTCTGCAAAACTTTTTTTATTTGGGGCACTCAACACATTACATTTTGAGCAGATTGGCTCATTCCAACTGTTTTAATATGATATTATAATAAAATTTCAAAAAGAAATGTTGTTTCCAAAAGAAGAGCCATAACACTTCCTATAGAAGGTTTCCCCCCCCCCCTTTTAAATTCAGAAACAAAATTTGGGTGAGATTGACTTGGTTTCAGAAACCATTTCTGTCAGTGTTTTTCTGACAATTCTGTTCCATACCAATGCCCACAACACACACAGCCCTGTCTGGGAATAAAGTTATGTCATGTTAAAGGGTTTGAGTTGGATGGGTGAATTTCACCCATGTGCACAAGATCAAATCAAGTTCTTTGCATCACTAATGTACTATTCAGATCTCCCCAAACAGGCTTGATTTAACTTCAAATAAAACACCAAAAAGGTTTCCTCTGTTCCTCTGTGGGGCATAAGCAGAAGCCAACTTTGTGCTGGCCTCCCTCTGCTGAGGGGTAAATGCCATTCAGCGTGTACCATGCCCTTCAGTGGACTGCTATGTTTTACAGTTGCTGTGTTGGCACACCAGGATCTCTTTGCTGGTTTTTGTGCATGCGTGTGTGGGTGGGGAAGAATGATGGAAAGTTGCTAAGAGCAAGAACAGTTTAACAAAAGTCACTCAGACAGTAGCTGTGGTTAAAGTGTTGAGGACCGATATCTGTATCATAGCATGTGGTTTCCCTTGCTGAGCACAGAAAGGTGGTCCAGCTGAGAGGGGGTGAGGGGAAAAATAAAATTAAATAAAAACTCTCCCTCAGGTCTCCTCTTATTCAAACTGATCTCTGAGTTGCTGAAGGGGTTTAGAAATGTGGAGCCTGAGACACGTGGGTGGACTGCTCAACCATATCAGTCTATCCATGTCTATATCATCCATTGGGCTACTACAGTTGAGGTACAACAGTTTTCTGTAGCTCGTGGCATACACAGAAGAATTGTGGCTAGTTTCATATCCACTAGCCTTTGACAGTAACTCATTTGGGGGTGGCCTTTGGCATGAAGCCAGAGCAAGACACAAACTTATATCTGTGGATGTTCGAGCACATGTGAAACCTATATCTGATTTTACAGTCCAATTCTTAGTCTCATTCCCAGACCAATTAGGCCTGGACTAATTTGCTCTTAATGAGCAGGAACTCTCTTCTTATGCCTACCAGGGAACATCCAACCCTCAGTCAGATGTGAGCAACAGGGTCTGGGCTAGGGAAAACACACTTGAGCTCCCTTGGGGGGCAGAAAAAATGTGACTAAACTAAGCCTCTCCATGTCACCCCTCTTTTTGTTTCTCTTCTGGTTTGGGGGTGCTTTAACTGAAATGGCCCATGCTACCCACGCAGACATCCCATCCAGTTACGGGGAGGCAGTATGGAGCAGCATTCTCTAAAGACATCATGATGCAAGGGGGAAAATGTTGCTTGCCAGAGCAATGAGAAACGAGCCTGACAGCTCTTATACTCAGTTCCTGCAATCCTCTTTTTGTGCATTTCAATCCCAGGGCAAATGTCTTTGTACTGGGTGGCTGATATGCAGCAAAGACAAGTCTACACAAGATTCTAAGCAGCCCGACTTCCTAGCAGCCAGAAAGGTGCACCCTACCTTTGTGGGATCCATGTTGAATTTCTTCCGGCCTACACTCAGATGTCTGTCCTTCTGCTCTGTTTTGCTGCAGACACAAAGGTGGAGAATCAAGCTTGAAAAACAATATTAAGCATGGGATTTCTATGAAAACTAGGAAATTTTTGGAACATCAGTACAGTGGTCATATGCCACTGCTGGCTCTCCTGGGAAATGGACAGGTCCTCACCTCTCGCTTTCATTCTGGAAGCCATCTATCTGGGCAATGACCTCAGCAATCTCATCCTTCAGTTTCTGGAGGAGAAAAAACACACCAAGTCAGTGAGGATACAAAGGGAAGGGAGAGAGGTCTTGTGCTCCACCTCATCCCTCAGTCATGACTAAAGCCCTGCTGTGTGGGCAGTCAACCAAGTAAACCCTCCACCACCCAAGAACTACTCATGCTGCCCTATTAAACTGGGCATGACTCTCTTTCATGACTTTGTCTACCCAAATTAGATGCAGCTTGAAACATGGCTGTCAAACATGGCTGAAAAACCTAGTTAAGCAGAGCCAAGGGGTAGGAGAACATGGACCCACGTTGGCTCTTGAGTGGATGTTGGATACTATGCCCAACCCATTGAGACCCTTCACCTACAGTCTCTACATTGTGTACACAGCCAGGGAAGGTGAAGAGAAGGCAGGTGGACTGGTGACTGTCCAAGGAGAGTCACTTTGAGTGTGGAGGTGCTAAGTTGTGAAACACAGGCACTTGTCATTCAGCAGTTGCTGCACACATTTATTGATGGTATTAAATTGAAGTTCATACCCTTTGAGCCTTTGGTAAGGCTGACCTCCAGCCAGATGCGACTGGATGGCAAAAGGAACTGAGTTCTTTGCGTTTTATTTGGGCCTATGTCTCTGTGCCTGCTTAGCTGATCAGCCCCTCAGGGCAAGGGCTGTCTCAGTATCTATATAGCAGCTAGAACAATAGAGCCCTGGTTTTGATCACTGCCAATATCTGCCAAACCCAATACTTTCTGGATTTTCCTGGGACTGTGTCTTTCAGTAACAGAGCAAGTAATTTTAGATATGCTAGCTACCCAACACTTGTAATAGCGTACCACAGACAAACAGAAATTCCCCAGGGAAAAAAAGGTCTGCGCTTGGACCCTGTGCCCCAGCCACACCATACAATGACCTATCACCAGCCAGCTTTGAGACTATAGTAGATTCACGCCATTGACCTATAGTCCAGTGTCCTGTCTCCTACCATCCCAGGTTCAGATGGTTTGGTTTTCCTGATCAGGTCTCCTACCTCCTCAATTGGTCTGTGCCTGGAGGCAATCACACACAAGCAAACAATGCACATGGGAGGAGTGCAGTGCTGTCCACAAAGAGAGAAATCCCTTCTTGACTGTGACAATCCCTCTGTAATTACCTATTTGCTACAGCCTTGCTTAATTTTCTCTTCTAATTCAGGTTTTTATGCTGTGTCCAGGATATCTGAGCACCTAAACATTGTGGGCCAGATTTCCAGCTGCTATGAATGAGCATGGGGGAAGGGGGGTTGCCTGCACACTGGAAAAAAAATTGATATGATGCCTCTCACTTTGGACCTTAGGAGTCTTTTGGACCTAGCCTGTTTGGATCTGGAGAGTCCTGTGAGTGGGTGGGCACCATTTGCTCTAAAGGGCAAATGAAAGTGCTCCAGGGCTCCCCCTTCAGCCGTCCAAGCGGTTCTTCATTCCTTGATGGAACCAGGGGTGGATTATAGGGTGATGGTGCCGTTGTCAGTGAGTGTGCCCCTTGGCAAACCAGGGGCAGCTCAGCCCAGGGGTCACCCATGGCATGGCCATGTGTGGGAGGGCGGATGACTGTACAGGCTTGGTGACACTGCCTGCTGCCATTGAAGGAGCACCCATGGGTCTGACTGTGGTGTGAGCTCGTGCACTTGTGACCAGCGTGGCAGCACAAGGAAAAAAAAATTATGATGCATGGAGGCTACAGGCTGTAGTCCTATAAATGGATGGATTCCAGTTGCTCTGAAGGGCAAATAAAAGTGCTCAAGGGCACCCCCTTTAACTGGCTAAGCGGTTCTTCATTCTTGGATAGAACCAGGGGCGGATTATGGGGTGATGGTGCCATTGTGAATAAGGGCACCCCTTGGGGAGCCAGGGGCAACACGGCCCAAGGCACCTATGCCAGGGCCATGTGTGGGGGGCTGGATGACCATGAAGGCTTGGCAGGGCTGCCTGATGCCAATCCAGGAGCACCTGTGGGTCTGACTGTGCTGTGATGTCGTGCCCGTGCAACGAAAAAACATGTCTGGAGGCTACAATCTGGGGCAGGTAGTGCGCACCTCCTCATTTCCAGCTAAGCCAGGGCCAAGGGCTAGGGGTGGGTCTGGGGCTCCCTGTGGGCAGCTGTGGCTTTGGGAGGGCTGGGTTTTGGCAGTGAGGGGATTAGTGGTTTGCCAGCACCCCTGATGTAATTACCAAAGAGATCAGTGGGGTGGATTGTTATTATCACCCCCTGCTGTAATTTACTGTGAATTGCTCACTGAGCTTTATTCAGTTTAAAAGCTGTCACTTGTACACAGCGATGTGACAAATTAAAACACACCATGTCAATTTTAATAAACCTATTTAATTTAGTGAGATTCATAGAGTGTACGGGGCTGAAAGGGACCCTGCAGATCATCAGGTCCAGCCCGCTGTCTCGAGGCAGGAAGACAACTGGGGTCAAGTGACCCCAGTGAGGTGACTGTCCAGTCTCCTCTTGAAAACCTCCAGGGTAGGTGACTGCACCACCTCTAGAGGGAGTTTACTCCACAATCTGGACACTCTAGATGTGAAGGAGTTTTTCCTGCTATTAAGCCTGAAGTGGCCTTCCAGGAGTTTATATCCATTGGTCCTGGTCTTCCCCAGGGCTGCCGTAATGAACAGTCGTTCACCAAGCTCCTGATGCACTCCTCTGATATAGCGGTAAGCCACTATCAAGTCCCATCTCAACCTTCTCTTCTTTAAGCTAAAGAGGCCCAGGTTCCTCAGCCTTTCCTCGTATGGCTTGCCGTGCAAGTCTCTGATCATACGGCTTGCTCTTCTCTGGACCCTCTCAAGTTTTTCCACGTCCTTATTGAAGTGCAGTGCCCAGAACTGAACACAGTACTACAACTGTGGTCTCACCAGTGCTGAGTACAATGGGAGTATCACTTCCTTAGTTTTACATGAGATGCATCGGTTGACGCATGCCGGCGTGTTGTTTGCCCATGTGTTATTTGAGGATTAAACTTCTGTCATGTGTACAAGTGCCCCATCGTTCCAGTGAGTTGCTCTTCAGGACTTGAACCTAGTTGCCAAGGTGTTGGACTGAAAGGCAGAAACTGTCTTTTTTGTAAAGAACCTTGTACCTGGGACTAGGTCAGTAACGGTTTCATGGCATTAGATAAGTAATGGGTAATAATTAACTGTAACCACCAATACTGAGCCAGATCCTCTGTAGGCACAAATTAGCACTGAGGCTTTGATGTCAACAGAGCTACCCCAGTTTACACTAGTTGATGATTTGGGCTGCTAATCCATTAAACTAGCCGGCCTTTTTTAAAGCATCTTACTTGCAGATCTCCTGCAGCAGGGTTTCACAAGCTGGGCATATGCTGGTTACAGACCATACTGGTGTAACTGAAACCTCAGAATTTGAGTTTGGATCACATCAGGGAAAGCCTCTCCTGTCAGGGATCTGCTATGGATGGTATGTGTTGCTTTGTAAAGAGCTACACTGGGGAAGGGGTTCTGGGAAGGTTTGTGTGTCACGAGGTGAAGAAGCAGGATGGTACCTACCTGAATGTCCTCCAGCAGCTCCTTCCTGTGCTTTCGGATAGTTTCTATTTCAGCCTCTTCAGCCTCAGTCAGGTCAGATGACCCTGCAAATACAAAAGGAAAGATCAATGCCATGGAGAATGGGTGCCATCTCAGGGCAAGGAAAGCCCCATATCACAACATCCCTAGGTAAGGCAAAGTCACCCCTGCTGAGCCCTTTCATCTTATAAACCTCTGCCAGGGTACCTTGCTTCTGTCTTGAGGCCTCCCTTGGCTATTATAATCCTAGGACCAATCCTTGCTCCACTGATGCTCCTCAGTCCTGACCCTGTAGTACCAATATTATACCAGTCCTTATCAGCACACCTTTACATCAACTCCTGTCTGTAATAACCCTCCTGTTTTCACTCCCAGGCCTGCCGTGAGCTGAATTGTCCTTTCCACATTATTTCATGCAAACAAGCGTGTTTTGTGAACAAGTTTGATTTATTTATTGGATTTACATGCCAATGTATTTGTTGGATTTATATGCCAAAAAGGCTCCAGGCAGCTTACAATAAAAACAAACAAACAAAAACAGAGCCACTCATAAGAGCAGATAAAATATTAAATACAATATATACTTCTATCACAAAAACTCCCCAAAATAAATCCAACTTGAACTTTTATAACAACTTTATTATGATAATAGGTGCACTGAAATAAATGTCCATTAGAATCGCAAGCTTCAATAAGGCAGTGATCTAAATATTAAGTATTGCCCATTTCTATACATATTTTCTCAGCAATCCAGGTAATTTTATTTAAAAAACAGCAATAGAAATGGCTGAGGAGACAGCCTAAGATTATTCCAGGTTGAGGAAGCAGTTTGGGGATTTAGAGCACCAGAGGAACTAGTGTGGGAAGGTTTTGTTTCCCAAGAACTATGGACTCCATCAAGACGCTAACTGGGCTATACTTGTCTCCTTTCTAATTTACAGGAAGTCAAGTAAATGATGACAGAAATGAGAAGACCACAGAATGATTCACAGAAGACCAAGTAGAAAAATTGGGGTGACAGCATAACTACTAAATATAATCCGAGCACTGCACAGCATGCTAAGCAAGAACAGCAGGGAAACAGGAACCTGAAGAAGCAGAAACTAAGAGTCTGTACCAGGGCTGAAGGAAGGCACCCCAAGGAGTCAGATCAGCCTGCAAGCACTGGGAGTATTTATTCTAGCTGAGCCTCAAGTCAGAGTCAGCACTGGTAGATATATATGGGGCCCATCTACTCAAGACATTTACTTTGCAGTTGTCTAGTTAGCTCTGCAGTAAAACATCACTGTCTACACATGTGGTGCTATTAGTATGGAGCAAACTAATTAACTCCATCATAGAACAGTACTGCCAAACACAAGTACTAGCTTATGGTGGAGTTACTGACCCCACAGCAATGCATGTGTAGATGGTGATAGGGCTGGTTGGGGCATGAGAGTGCTTCAGTGCAGGGGCTGCCTGCCAGCTAGCCCCTGCACTGAAGCACCCTTGTGCCCCAGGCACCACTCCGCAGCATATTGAGCTGGGTTGGAGCAGCCCTGGGCTGGCAGGTTGACCCCCCAGGCCCCTCCCAGCCGGGGCTGCTCCAGCCTGGCTCAATGTGCTGCAGTTCCAGGCGCACGTGCAAACAGCATGCCCAGGAGCAATAAACTCTGGTGCAAACTGCAGCGGAGTTTATTCAGTCACCTTAAGAGCATTTGTAGAGATGCCCAGCGGGCAAAGGGACACCCACAGGGTACAAAAATTTTCCACCCCATGTCAGGTCCGTCTAGCAGCAATCTCTCTCCATTGTTTCATAAGCCAAAATCCCCTGGGCCTCCCGTGTCTGGAGAGAAAGGGGAAGTCTTACCAGCTGCCTTGGAAACTCAGTGTGGATATCTCACTCAGAACCATTTCTAAAAATGTGATGGAAAAGGGGAAGGAACTGGCAGAAGTGAGGGAGAGGAAGGGGAAGACAAGAAAAAAGAACGTGCTCCAGATCACAGGTGCTCCCTCTCTCTGCATCACAGAAGATTTGGGCGTGGGCTGGCCCTATTCGAGAGCTCCTGCAGAGTCTTCTGTTATCTGCCACCCTTCTCCATAGCGCTGCATACTGAATGGAGTGGGTCCCCTGCACATTTCATATAAAAGGCGTAATCACCACTGTGGATGGCAATGGTGGCAGAAGGGGCTGGGCCAGCTAGGACAGCAGCAATGACTGGGCTGGCAGCAGTGACAGCTACCATTTTGGTGCCCCTCTAAATGACGCCCAGGGCTGGTGTACCAGTCATTCACCCCTTGTTATGCTACTACTCCACATGCCATGGGGCTGAACAGTGTTCAGAGTCTCTCCAAGCCACAGCCCTTCCCTGCCTGTCTCCAGATAGTGCCATAAATGCAGGAAAATCACCTTTTTTGGGATGAGACTGCTGAGGCTGGAGAGAGCTGGGTGAACAGGAGCTTGGAAGCTCAGGCTAAGTGGCAGTGTGTTCCTCCAATTTGGGAAGAAGCCCTTTGTGGGGACAGGAGGAAGATGCCATGTTTCAAGCCACCATGATATGTGAGTAGGGCAGGAAAACCCCAATTGCCCAGCTTCCCTCAACAACCACTATCACAGGTTATCATGATGCACAGCCTGCTGTGGGGGCTACAGTACTCTGCCTCAAATTCCTAGCTGGGCTGTACCCAACCTGTCTTTGGGTGCAACTAATAAGAGAAAAGGCCCAAAGGCAGATTTGCTTGATGCTTTTTATAGCCCCACCCCTGGGGTCCACAGAAGACCAATTTAGAGACTGGAGCAGGCTGTGTAAACAATGAGGAGTTAAATGTCACACAGGGATATACAAACCACCATGCTTCTGGTGCATGGAGAGTAAATAGGAAGGGAACAAGTAGAAAAAATGGAAGATGCAAGCATGATGAACTGTGAGTGTGGCAGTGGGGAACTGTCTAGACGCAAGCCCAGGTACCCACAAACTCTGCTACCTCTGTACTGGAAAGTGAATGGGTGAGGGGGGGGGGAGGTGGCAGCTCTATATGAGCTCAACCACACACTTGCAAGCCAGCTTCTCAACCCAGATTCAGTTCACCTCTAGGTACACTTTTGAGGGCTTTGAGAGAGGCTGGTAGTGGGATTGGACCCCTCTGCACACCGTGACACACAGGGTGTTTCCACACTGTGTCCTTGATGCTTTTGGGCAGAGACATTTCTGGACGTGCCCTAGCCACCTACACATGCGAAAACCTGGAAATGCAGTGGGAAAGTCACCCTGGGGGCCTCTCCCAGAGCTCTTTACTGCTGGGGATGTGGTGTAGAGATACTTAAATAGGACTGCCGTGTATGCACAGAGGCCAGGCATCCAAATGGGTGCAGCTGTAAGCACAAACAATTGTCTCTGCAGTTTCCTCCCTTGTTTAGTAATGGGTGCAAAACTGTGCCAGCAATACTGAAGGTAGGGCTGGGACCAGACTGAAAACCAGAACCCACAATACTGAGGCCTGCGTTCCACTTTGGGCCCAGGCTGAGCTGTGAGTCAGTGTGAAACAGCAGCAGAGCGCTGAGCCCCTTACTCCGGCATGGATGCCGCTCCAAGCCTTGCCAGCATTTTGAACCTAGCCCATCCGTTCCCCCCTGCTCCGGCGTAGAAGCTGACTCTCCCTCACCTAACGGAGCCAACGTCTCCATCTGCATACAGTTCTCTTGTATAGCAGCACCCCCGGTGTAAGTCCACAGCACAGGTGAACGTGTCTACCTTTCCACCTCAGCCACGGACTCTGATGGAAGCTGAGGCCCACTGGCGGCAGAACAATTTCTCCAAAAACTACGCATCAGCAAGCTTTTATCACTGAATGAGCCACCAAATCAATGTAATCTCTTGATCCCTAGACAATGCCTCTGACACAGAGAGTGAGGCCGGCTTTTGAAGTGGTGCTGGCTAGCTGTGGTCCTGGGGTAGCTAGGCATTTTTGCACTGCTTCAAAGTAGGTCTTCTGCAACTGGTCCATCATCTCGTTCTATGTTTGTACAGCGCCTAACATCACAGGATACTGGGGCACCACTCCAGGACAAATCCCAAATGGCAAAAAGAACTCATTCTGTCTATTCACAAAAGTAGGACAACTTCCCTTACACGGCAGACAATGCATTTGGAGAGCCACGTTTTCCTTGAACAACTAACCTGAAAAAAATATGTCCCTGCTTTGTACAGAGAGGTGAGGGCTCTCCCTGCCCTGGTTTTGGTAGTCTATGAGCTGGTTGCAACACTTCCTTTCAGGCACTAAGGGCCTGATTTTCCTAAGAACTCTAGTCCCCTTTAGACAGCTAAAGGAAGTGGCCAGAGACTGCGAAGCACTCAGTGCCCAGCCTCTCTTGCAACAGCTTGAGAGAACTTCAAGGAAATTGGGCCCCTTGGTGCAGGATTTGACGTGGGGACCAGAGGGTTTTCAGCTCCCACTCCTTGTTCATGGCCTTAGCTATGCCATCTTTGTGGATATGAGGTGATATCAGAGACAGATGGCAGCTGTGTCCTTGTGTTAAGATCCTTTGTATTTTTCCCCCTGGAGAAAGTGTGTCCTCTCCCTTGAAACCTCATGTCCTTTCTCAGCATGGGTCACACCCAATATCTGCCTTTTGGGATTGCCTCCAGAGCACCTTTGTCTACTAGATCCCAGGTCTGCTGCACTGCACCCAGCAAACCAGGAAATCAAAGAGTTTTGATCTTTCTCAGCCCCTGGGTTTGTGGCTAATTTCCTCCCACCTACTTCTGCCTCTCTATACCCCTCTAAAACAACTGCTGCAAGGCAAGGGAGAGATTCAGGCCAATCAATCTTTCTTCTTCTCTTGGGGTGGGGGTGGGGGCAGGTGGAAAGGTATTTAGCTGTGCTATCCTGAAGTCAGGTAGAGGCAGGGCAGGGTGGCACTTCAGGTTGGTGATTCTCAACCAGAGCACTGCAATATACTTTTAAGGGTGTCCTGCAGTGCCATGTAATATTAGCACTGTTAGGTGTGCAAAAACCTTCACAGGATGAGCGGAGAGATTTTAAAATAGGAATCCATAGTGTCACAGATATTTTGACCTATTGTGGTTTTCCTGAGTTCTTTGCAACAGAAGAATTGCTCTATTATTTTTCTGTAGTTAAAAAACAAGTGAAAGCTCAAAGCTGGCATTTTCTGAGGGGTCCTTGAATCTAAAAAGGTTCAGAACCACTGTCCTAGAGAGTGACTGGTTCAAAGAAGCACAGGCATTTGTCAGCAACAGACTGCTTCATCAGGTGCTAACAACCCTCCTCTCTGGGGGGCCGATTTATTATTACTGTGCCCCAGGTAGTCACTTGCAATGCACAGTTGGTGCAGATTTGCACCACATGAAGACACTGGTAATTTACAGCCACTGTCCACTGGTCTGATCCTGGTAGAAATAACTACGCTGGGTGCAGTGCAAGGGTGAATCAGCCCTGCCTGGTGCAGGAGGACTATGTTGTAGCATTTGCAGTCTGCTCTTTCTGCACCTCTATTCCTGTCACGCTGAGGCTACATCAAAGGAAACCATTGTCTGTAGTCACATGTTGACCACCATCCCAAGTGCCACGTACTCCTGATACCCTAGCTTGGGCCAGGAAAATTGCCCTCTACCCTTTTGCCACCTACCTAGGCTGAGGGTCAGCCTCTGAATACAGTTCTGACCCAGCACCAATTCAAGTCGGTAGGGTGACACTGATTGATATCAGGGAGGAACTGTCTGGAGGTAGGGGGGGAAGCCAATACCTCCACAGAGAAGACACCTCTCCCTATAGCACATCGTCCACAAAACTACAAGCCCTTTGCAGAGCTTCTAAGAAACCTCTTGGCTATGTTCACCCGTCCCATCCCCATGGCAGCTGCTAGCCCTAATTGAATCAATCTGACCTGACAGCATTTACAGAATGAGCAGCACTTTGATCAACAAGGCAGGGGGAAGATGTGGCCAAATCTCTTTAAGGAAAGACTTACCGATGGGACAAACATCCATGCTGAAATGTCACTCAGAGGCAAATTCTCTTTGTGCGACTGCGAGTTCCTCTTTCCCCGCTGCTCTTTCAGGCGTCTGGCGGAATTAATGCGACTTCACCCCAGAGTCTAAAATTGTGTCAGCTGGAGGAGCTGCGGCTCCACCCCCTGGTTCCTCCCCACAAGCTCATATGGGTGAGGGAAACTACAAGCTCCAACTGTTAGAAGCATGCAGACTCCGGTTACTTCTTACATAAAAACCCACAAGAGAAAGCCAGTGTGTCTTTCCATTGGCACTCGCTCAGCTCATTGCTGGGGGTGACTGTGCTCTGGTTTTATCCAGCCTGCTCTAGAGACAGAGGGAGCATAAAACAGCTGCCTTAGGGTGTGGTTTTATGATGGAGAAAGACTCCCCCCCTACCACAACTCAAAGTAGCTCAGCAATTGGTAGAGAGTGGATGAATATTCCAATATTTGTGTGGGCCTCCGGTAGGTTCCTGCTGCCAATGAAATGACATGACCTGGATCCTTTACTCCCATCTCAAATGGGTCCTCTTCTGACTAGCATCATCAGGAAGGAGTGGATCAAGCCTAGAGTTGTCCCAGTATGGAGGGAGTGTCCCAGTATGGAGGGAGCTGGCACTGACCTGGCCCGAGCTATGTCTGCTCTGATGAAAAATAGAGGGCTTTAGCTGGCAGAGCAGTCAGTCTCTCTGTCACTTACTCTCTTCCTCTCTCTCCAGCCCCGGAAGGCTGCACACTTCCCCTTAAGCTAATCACTCTTGGTTGCTATGTCCGTGGTCTTTTGTACGTGACAGCCCTCATAACTTCTGCAGGAGGGGCCTTCATGCCCACACAGAAAGCTCAGCAGCTGGCGTGCACACCTTGAGATCCCCCTTTCCAAATCAGCAGGGCAAAGAATCAGCACAGAATAAAAAAAATCTAGCACATGAGGAGTATGGCTGTCTGGGCACAAAGCTTTCCCCTTGTCCAAATTACAGCTGCAAATTTTGAGAGGATGCCACTTTTCCATGCCCAATGGGCATGGGCCTGGCAAGACTCCCACTACTTTGTCAATGCAGCAGCACCCTGCTCTGTATCATTCTGGCCCATTCCAGTTTGGCCTCCCAACACTGTCAACAACACAGCCAAGATGGTATAACCACCGCCTCTAAACCTAACACTGGCCTGGCATCCTGCCAAGAATCAAACACTCTATGATTGTGAGTGACTGGCGTCCTGAAGACCACAGCCAGGCAGCCCTAGGGAAGACTGTGAATAGCTTGTGGTCTTTAGGATGAATCAGCAACCAGTCTTCACCCTTCAGATTCCATAGTCAAGGTTGTCTTGCAAGGAAGATGGCTACAAATTTCCTTTCGGAGGGGGGTGAAAAAAGTTGTCCAGTGTAAGCTACCATTTATAGGTCCCTCAGGTGAGAGGAGATCCAACAGAACAACCCTGCAGGGGACCCATATAGATCAAGCAATGCACTGATCAGTCTTGACCTCCTGATTTCTCCATCAATCCAGTCATATGGAGAGCTCTGCTGAAAGACCTCATTTATACCGACTGAATCCCTCACTCTCCAATCCTGTATCTCACACATTTCCCTGTCTTTGTCCTGGTGTCCAGCTTACTGTTCCAGTACCGTGATCCCAAGACAGCTCTACTGAAGAACTCACTGCTCACTTTCAGGAAACCATGCCACGCCACCCCAGGACTGGATACCCCACCCTGATGCATTTCAATTGTGGCATGTAGCACCCATTGTTATTCCAGACTTGACATATTGGCCAATAGGGCTGTGTGAAGCAGAAACGTTTCATCTTGACCAATGTTTTGACAGAACAGTGTTTCATTTTGACTTTTATTTTGAGTTGAAATGGCGGTTCCGTTTCGTTCCGTCGAAACGTTTTGCTGTTTTGACCCTGTTTCGATGTTTCGCCCATAGGATATAATGGGGAAGGTTGAAACAGGCTACAATTTTGTGATTTCTGGCCAGATTTGGATGAAACTTGCAAGAATAGTAGTATCTTCTGAGGGCATGATGCATGCTAAGTTTCAAGAAGATAGGTACATGGGGTTCAGAGAAAATGCCCCCCAAAATCCTGAAAGTAAAACTTGTGTCATGTGTATGTGTTAAGACACAGTGGGGCCAAAACTGCAGGCTTGCTAGCCCCTTCTGAGACCACAAAGCCTGCTAGTTTTAAGAAGATTGGTGCAGGGCTTTGGGGAAAACTGCACCCCAAATTCTTGAAAGCAAAGCTCATGTCACATGTATGTGTTAAGCCACAGTGGAGTCAAAACTGTAGAGATGGTAGCCCCTGGTGAGGCCACAAATCCTGCCAAGTTTCAAGGTGATAGGTGCAGGGGCTTGGGGGAAACTGCACCTCAAGCTGCTGACAGGCAAAACTCGTGATATAGATAACCCTGTGTGTGTTAAGGCACAGTGGGCTGAAAACTGCAGGGGTGGTGGCCCCTGCTCAGGTCACAGAACATGGCAGATTTCAAGAAGATAAGTCAGAGGTGGGCAAAATGTGGCCTGGGGTCCGGATGCAGCCTGCCAGGCCATTCTATCTGGCCTGCAGGGCCCCTAAAAAATTTAGAAAATTAATATTAATCTGCCCTGAGCTGCCTGTCATACAGCCCTCGATGGCTTGCCAAAACTCAGTAAGCGGCCCTCTGCCCAAAATAATTGCCCACCCCTGTGATAAGTGCAGGGCTTTAGGGAAAACTGCACCTCAAGCTGTGGATAAGCAAAACTCGTGACATGGGTGCTTGTGCACCTGTGTCTGTCTTCAGGCACTGGAGGGTGGGGGAGGTACTACTGCAGGCCTGGCTGCTAAGCTACTGTGTTACCAGTTACCAATTAATCATGATTCACTCCAGGGACCAGCTCAATACACAGGACCTAGCTACTATATAACAACTTAACAAGCTTGGATTAACACCTACAAAACCACAGACTAAGGAGAGGAAATAATCAATACATACAATCAACGGCCCCAAGACAGACTCAGTCAGTTGCACAAGCACCCATGTCACGAGTTTTGCCTGTCAGCAGCTAGAGGTGCAGGGCCCCAGAACCCCCCTGCACCTATCTCCTTGACAGCTGGCAGGTGTCGTGGCTGCAGCAGGGGCTACCACCCCTGCAGCTTTCACCCTGCTGTGCCCTAACACACACAGTGTCACCCATGTCACGAGTTTTGCTTGTCCGCAGCTTTGAGTTACAGCTTCCCCCAAACCCCTGCACTTATCTCCTTGAAACTTGGCAGGCTTTGTGGCCTCAGCAGGGGCTAGCAAGCCTGCAGTTTTGACCCTGCTGTGGCTTAACATATACGTGTGACATGAGTTTTGCTTTCAGGATTTAGGGGTGCAGTTTCTCTGAACCCCCTGCACCTATCTCCTTGAAACACAGCAGGCTTTCTGGCCTCAGCAGGGGCTAGCATTCCTGTAGTTTTGACCCTCCTGTGGCTTAACACATACAGAGGACACGTTTGGCTCAGGATTTTGGGGTGCAGTTTCTCCAATCTCCCTGCACCTATCTTCTTGAAACTTGGAACTCTTTATGCCCTCAGAAGAAGCTACCATTTCTGCAAGTTTTATCCAAATCTGGCTAGACATGGCAAAACTATAGGCTGTTTTGACCTTCCCCATTATAGCCTATGGGTGAAACGTTGAAACAGCATCGAAACAGCAAAACGTTTTGACTTGCCTCATTTCATTTCAAAGCTGTTTTGACCATATCTGTTTCATTTTGATGTTGCTGTTTCAACCTCAAAACAGGTCGAAACAGCGTCAAAACAAAACTGGTGGCGAAATTTCGCACCGCCTTATTGGCCAATACACCTCACTCTGGCTCTACAGCGCCTTCTGCTACGCACTCCTGGCTCCTGACCCAACCCAAAAGAGCAGGTGCACTCACTAATCACCACGTCCCTTCTATACGGGCATAGCAATAGTAAACTACTGTCAATCCTTCTAAACCATGGTGTATGCATGAGATGTCATCAGGACCTTTGATGCATACACCTAGGCAGGAGTATGGAGAAGTCGAAGCTGTCTAGACCTTCCATCCCCCTTTAGACAGTATCCAAAGGCCAGACCAAATCTGGAACCTCAATGACTGTAGTTACATGCACATCTGGGAAACCAAACCCAGGTCTCCTGCATGACAGAACAAGGGTTTTACCACTGAACCACAACAGCAGGTTATATGGACATAAATTTTAACAAAAATATATAAAAAGGAACATTGACCACTAGCTACAAGGGGAGAAATTCTATGTATGTTCTACTATTCCAGGCTTAAGCTCTAAGATAGAAGATCATCTGTTTTGTGGAACCATGTGGTGTCTTTATAATGCAGCTAGACATCTAGCACATACTAGCAAGTGTGGCACTGGAAATTGCGTCCTTATGTGGTTTGGCATCCAAGACAGGAAGTTTGGGGAGGGGGTGTAGGAGCCTATTTTTTATAAGGCAGCTGCAGCTGAGACCACAAACAAAGCTGATGCCACAACCTGCTTTGTCTCAGAGTGATGCCTGAACACCACATGCAACCAAAAGGGAAAAATACGTTGATAATATATATATTATTGGTCCCAAATTGCTGATAGTCTTTGGAAATGTGGAAGGCCCCTGGAAGAAGTTCAAACAGCACGTTACTCTGCCCCTGAAGCAGTGGATGACTGTAAAGGGGAAGACTTATTTTTGGCAACGGTCCTTGATGTGCTTAATAGTTTTCAGTTAACTCAGGCAGAGACCTAACTATGAAACTGAAGTGCAGAAATTTGAGGATTACTGTACTCCAAGTAAAAAAGAAACATACTAACAATGTGGCTTTTATCAGAGAGGACAACAGGAATGTGACTCTATAGTGGGGTAATCTGAGGCCAAAGTTGTTGCAATTTTTGCAGGGATAACTACACTGGGATTTTGAACAAAAAAAAAAAAATCAGAAAGGGATTGCTGGAAGGCCCACAATGAACTCCTGGCAAAGAGCTTAAGGTTGCCAGGAATGGGAATCACCTTGTCCAGAATGAGGCGTGCAGAGTGTGGACAGTGCAATATGATGGAGATTCCAAAATACCACAAAAAAGAGATGTGAAGCAGAAAAACAC